TAATTATAAATTCTTTAACAAAACATTTGTTATAGAAAATTTCAATTTCTTGGAATAATAAATCTGATGAGTATCTTTTACACTGAATGAAGCAGCTTTTATGATATACTTTTGAACTAGAATCGGACCCAGAAGGTAAGAACTCTACTCCCCTCCACAAGCTAATATTCTGCATAACAAATCAGACTGTACATAATGCTAAGTATGTTGATTTAATTTCATTTGAAAATATCACTCAATTATCTAATTTGAGATATATAGCTTTTTATAGTTTTATTTTGCAACAAATATACTCTGTCCATTTCATGCGTGAGTCAAAAGTTAAAAATAAGTATTATGAAGTTACTTTCTCTAAAGTCTTGTAATTGTTATTGAGGTGGTTGTGACAGTTTTGGAAAATCAACTTGTTTAAGTTATAGTCAGCTGTTGTTGCAAGAGAAATGGGCATGAATTTTGTTTTGGAAACATTGAAGGAAAACACATTTTGATTGAGCAAAAATTTAACCATTTTGAAATAAGTCTTTTGACAATCTTAAGAAGTACCTACTACATGCAAACTCAGTAGAATAACATTGCTTTGTCAATAATGTGTGTGACAGCTGTGCAAAAGTTTTAGTCAGCTGTTGTTGCAAGAGAAATGGGCATGCATTTTGTTTTGGAAACATTAAAGGAAATAGTTATTTGTGCAACTAGTGAGTAAAGGGAGCAATTGACTCACTTGAGAGAAATACTTACTCACAAGCCGTAGGCGAGGTTTCTCGAGTGAGGCTATCACCCAACTACACTTAGCACTATATTGCACTTTGCACTCGAGTTGCACATTATATTTTTCCTACAGTTACCATAAAACAAATAAATTGGTAAAGAAACGTGACATATTTTTACACAGAAGTGAACTTTTAATATGACATTTAATCATACAACAGTACAACAGCTGACCAGCTGATTTACAGCCAGTTCTGCCAACGTATTTCGCACGCATACAACCTTGTCTGCGAGTGAAAATTTAAAAACGTACGTTTTCATGTCCCTGGCCTTTTACTTCGCAGATACTGGATTTGTAGTTTATTATTATGTATTTTAATATTTTTTGGGACGGGGGCAACATGTTACACACATTTATTTGGTTTTAAATAGGTTCTAGGTATTTTTTTTGTATTTTTAAAGTCTCGAAATTCACGACCATGACGTGTCCCTAGGGTACATTTTCCAACTTTCACGCTGTTTTTAGACTAATTATTTATGCCGAAATATATCAAGCCATATTTTTATGTCATCAATAGTTATTAAACTTACAAAAAAGGAGCATATTATAATTTTAGTGTCATTGCAAACTGACTACCATGACAAAATAAGTCTGTCCCTCGATTTGGCGTCACGACCATTTGGGAAAAATTTTCAACTTTGGAGCACGACAGTGGCAAGCCTGGCGTCGATTGTGTCAGTTCGTTTTAGAGACTAGTTCGGGGTGTACGTCAAGTTTGTTGTGCCGGTTGTTTTGTGTTGAAAGAAGTAGTTACAAGATTAATAAAGGTAATTTTGTGTTTTTTGTAATTTTGGTGTGTCCATGACCATACATAGTCATTTGATGAAGTAGACGTGGGGTTAATTTTTGTTGATATGATATTTATATTGCTACATTAACCTAGAAGTCCACTTTGTATCCTCGAACATGAGGTGCAGGGCTACCGCCAGAACAGAGCCAAGTAACACGTAATGTCCCGACCAAAGTTTCACGACCATCGCGGGTTTTTTCACGACCAATCCAGCCTTATGGATTATACCGTGTTTGGTCGTGACAATAACTTAAATATCATTGTAAATTGAACAGTTTAGTTCAATTGAAACACATATTTTTACTATAACTAACAGTATAGTTGACGGATTGTTTACAAAGATTTAATTTTTTTCAGACCATTCACGACCGTACCGCTTGTCCCTGACCATCACGTTGATGATTTCTATCAAAAAAATTTCAAAAATTAAAATATCATCATATTTCAATGTTTTATACACAAAATAAGTACACCTCAATAAAAACGTAACGATTTTTCGGGTCTCAGGTAAGTTTTTTCGGAGTTATACAAACTTAAAAAGATTTTATTGGCTTTTTTTCAACTTTTTGAGTTTTTTTTTTTGTTCTAGAAAGACCATATATACCAAAAGCTTAGTGAGCTGTTTATTGTATGATGGTCATAAAAGTAAATGAATTAATAGCAAAACATAGTTACAAAAATAATATTAACTATTTTTAATATTCAGTTTGATGTCCGTGATGGTCGTGACATAATTTCGTGTTTTTCCATCAAAGATGCTCTATTAATAAAAAATCACCAAAGATATTGCGTTACCATGGATATTTTATGAAACTTCAAATGTCAATGAAATTAAAAAAATAAAAAAAGTTTCAAAAAACGGAACAAGAAATTTTAAAAGTGCTTTTCCTGAAAACGTACGTTTTTAAATTTTCACTCCTGCATGTTACGCGCTCACTATTTCGTGCCTTCACGTTGCAAATCTGGAGTGAGACAAAGTAATTAGCTCACTGATGAGCGAATTGGCCACTTTGCTTTCTCAAATCAGTGAGAGAACATGTACATTGTTAGGTAACTGTAGGAAAACACATTTTGATTGAGCAAAAATTTAACCATTTTGAAATAAATAAGTACCTACTACATGCAAACTCAGTTGAATAACATTGCTTTGTCAATAACGTATATATGTACAGTAGAACCTCTTTAATCCGAACTAATTGGGACCAGGGGTAGTTCGGACTATTGAATAGTTCGGATTACAGAACATGTTATTGTTTTTACATAACAATAGCTAAAACATGGCTAAAATTGATCTAAATTATTTTGGGAAAAGTGAAAAAAATGTTTTATAAATTAAAATTCAGTGTTTATTTAATACAGTAGTAAACATGATGAATAAACAGTACTGTACATTAAATACAGTATATAATAAAGAACTGCTGTACTGTGTATAGACTACAGCAATGGGGGGTTCGGATTAGTGGATGTTCGGATTACGGGGGTTCGGATTAAAGAGGTTCCACTGTATATATGTGTTTTTTATAGAAACTTAGGAATCAACATACAGCCGATTAATATCAATCTAGTATGCAAACATCACAACAAATATTTACTAAAATAAAATTGAACTAGGTCCTACTATAAAACTGAAAATGTCATCAAAGATAATAATTAATTTTATAAGACTGCTTGCACTGAGTTTGTACAGTATACTTTTTAAATTAAAATTCCTTGAAAGATTTTCCAAAAACTTAGTATTATAATATATTTTTTAATCAAGAAGTTCTGTACCCTGAGCCTTCCATCCTGGAGCCCCTCACAAACATACAAACATAGAATACTATACAAATTACAACTGTTCTCTCCCCCTCTGTCTCTAGTGTACTGTCACTACATCAAATTATCTTTAGTATGTTGACTAATCTTATTAATTAAGCTTTCTTGATGAAATATTACAATAATTTTATTTAAAATGTCAATATTTCAAGAAACCAAATATTAAAAAAAATAATTAAAAACGTATTGCGGAATTGAGTTCAGCATAAAAAAATAGTTCAAAATTATGGGTCACAACACCACCTTCATATTTTAAATAATTTTACATATTAAAATGGCAGATCCAAGATGGCGGCCGGAAATATAGATCCGTCATAACCAAGTGAAGATAGGTCGACAACTAATGGTGTATACTTATCTTTACCTAGCACTATTTTGAAATTATGGTCTTCTTTTGTAAAAGCACAATGTTAAAATGGGCTAAAAATAAAGTTATATAGAGGTCTCATAACTTTAGAATGGATCAAGATTTTTTTAAACGGATTGCAGCATCGTATTCAGTGTAAAAGTCTAGTTTGAAACGATGGGTCAAAACCCTACCTTTACATTTGGAAAAAACTTTTTTTCCAATATGGCGGATCCAAGATGGTGGCCAAAAATGTATACCCAGTCAAAATGAAGTAGGTGTAGCCGGCAAAAGATGAGTCATGACTGGGCCGGCTACACCACGCACGCTACCGTACCAGTATTATAATTGGCCAATTTTTGTTTAATGTTCAGTGTTTTCGTGTTTGTGTCTTGTGTGTTATAACGACTCTTCACAGTAATGAAGAGGATAGTGTGTTTGGAATGCGTTTTCAACTTGCTATCAGCTTGAAAATGAACCTTTAGGTTCGAAACCTGGGTCGCTGACCTAAATTCCAGGATCACTGACAAGTACTACAGGTATTTAACCTTTTTATTAGTAAATCACGTGATCCAGAGGCTAAACATGTTTGTTTATTTGTACTTTAACATTAATAATAACCCTTTGATTACACAATATATGGTTATACAATGTACTAAATATTAACAATAAAGCTGGGAAGATGGGTGGTTAAAGTGCTCGCCTGGTGATCAAAGTCGCTATAGTTCGATCCTGAGAAAAGTGTATAGCTTTTTGATGGTTCGAAACTGGACGCAGCTGTTTCATCATTAGGCTTTTAATTAATGGTCCTGGCTAATGAAACAGCTGGTCTGAGTCAGTAATAATGCTACACATGGTATCTCACTCCATTTTTCACTCATATTTCTGTTAAAATAGTAAATACGCATTTATTTCGGCGTCCCCATTTCAGTTGGTAATTTAATATGCTCGTAATACATTAATGGTAATTTTTAGGTTGGGTGTAATTCGTTAAGAAATGTAGTAACTGATTCAGCCTGTTATTTATTTATTTATCAAAAATAGAGGAAACAGAACTAATTAAATTTTATCCCACTAATATTTTATGAACAGATGTTAAATATCACTTGTTATTGATTTTTCAGACGGAAAACTATCTCTACAGTTTTGCTGTGACTTACGTATTTTTTTTTTTACTCGTAAAATAATAAATTATTGTACAATATCGCTTTAGTTATTAATCACTACCTATTCTAAACTTCAAAATATTACCTAAAAATCACAAGGAAATGAAGCACAAGAAATATATCAAAATACTTCATATAATTAATACATTATTAAATAAAAACTAAAACATATATTACAATAAATATACATCATCTCCCATATTTTAAATTTTCTCAGATCTTTAATACTATACAAGTAGCTCGAGGAAACATGTGGAGAAGACCTTTAAAAATAGTGATAACATACTATTTATCCATCAAAACTATGAAAATGAGCGATAAAATGGAATACGAAGGAAAGTTGCTAACTAAGAGAGTCAGGTACTTAGAAACACCGAGGAGGAAGCTCGGGTATTTCACTAGATGACTAAATAATACAAAGTTAGAAATATGAATACGATCTCAACAAATTAGCATCACATTTACGAAGGACAGAGGAAAATATTTACAATAGTCACAGTAATAATCAAATAGAACATTTAGGAATCACATAGCATAGCTTGACAGGGACGGATTACTAAATACTATAAAGCCTCTAAGAATTAAAAAATTCATTTAAATTGTATAAATAGATCTTAGCTTCATATTACCCTGACAGTTCATTAATGTTCTTAGAACGCAGCTATGCCTTTGATCACAAGATAGATTCCCTTTTTATTTCTTCACTGGACAAAGCTTGTGTCAGTGGATTGTTTGGTTCTTCTGAGACACTTTTATCGTTGTGCAAATTGGTGTTATTTCGTTTACTTTTTGAATGTGGACTTCTTTATTACTGAAGAAGTACTTGTAGATACCTCTGAGAGTATAGCCGAGACCCAAAGCCATAAAACCACACGAGACGCAGACAAACTAAAACAAAAAGTAACATGTTAGTTCATTTGTATTTGTGTGTACAGTGGTTTATTTCTAGAAAGTAGCTTACTGGCACTAACGTATGTACTATGGCCCTATATCTATCATACACTATTCTTCTTATTCCCCAGTTTAGATACTCTGCTAAAACGACAAAAAAATAAATCATAAATGTAATGCTTGTACAGTCTTATACAGTATATTTTATACGGCACTGTGCAGTTTTGGTTGGATGGTCGATGTGTTTGTTGCACTGTGCAGTTTTGGTTGGATGGTCAGTGTGTTTGGTGCACTGTGCAGTTTTGGTTGGTTGGTCGGTGTGTTTGGTGCACTGTGCAGTTTTGGTTGGATGGTCAGTGTGTTTGTTGCACTGTGCAGTTTTGGTTGGATGGTCAGTGTGTTTGGTGCACTGTGCAGTTTTGGTTGGATGGTCGGTGTGTTTGGTGCACTGTGCAGTTTTGGTTGGATGGTCAGTGTGTTTGGTGCACTGTGCAGTTTTGTTTGGTTGGTCGGTGTGTTTGGTGCACTGTGCAGTTTTGGTTGGTTGTTCGGTGTGTTTGGTGCACTGTGCAGTTTTGGTTGGATGGTCGGTGTGTTTGGTGCACTGTGCAGTTTTGGTTGGATGGTCAGTGTGTTTGGTGCACTGTGCAGTTTTGATTGGTTGGTCGGTGTGTTTGGTGCACTGTGCAGTTTTGGTTGGATGGTCAGTGTGTTTGGTGCACTGTGCAGTTTTGGTTTGATGGTCAGTGTGTTTGGTGCACTGTGCAGTTTTGGTTGGATGGTCGGTGTGTTTGGTGCACTGTGCAGTTTTGGTTGGATGGTCAGTGTGTTTGGTGCACTGTGCAGTTTTGGTTGGATGGTCGGTGTGTTTGGTGCACTGTGCAGTTTTGGTTGGATGGTCAGTGTGTTTGGTGCACTGTGCAGTTTTGATTGGTTGGTCGGTGTGTTTGGTGCACTGTGCAGTTTTGGTTGGTTGTTCGGTGTGTTTGGTGCACTGTGCAGTTTTGGTTGGATGGTCGGTGTGTTTGGTGCACTGTGCAGTTTTGGTTGGATGGTCAGTGTGTTTGGTTCACTGTGCAGTTTTGGTTGGATGGTCAGTGTGTTTGGTGCACTGTGCAGTTTTGATTGGTTGGTCGGTGTGTTTGGTGCACTGTGCAGTTTTGGTTGGTTGTTCGGTGTGTTTGGTGCACTGTGCAGTTTTGGTTGGATGGTCGGTGTGTTTGGTGCACTGTGCAGTTTTGGTTGGTTGGTCGGTGTGTTTGGTGCACTGTGCAGTTTTGGTTGGATGGTCGGTGTGTTTGGTGCACGCTTGCATGGTGGACTGACCTAAGGATTATACAGTGTTGGCATACGTTCGCACAGGCTGCTTCTGCAGAGAAACCTGTACTAATTTGTAATACCCTACTCTAAAGGTTTTAAGTATATATATATATATAAAGAAGTATTGGAATTGTGATGTGCATCCATTTCAATATTCAAATATAAGAATAACATTAAACTTTGTAAAATTTGGGATTTATTATTTATATCAACAAATTCTTCAAATTATTACAACCACAGTTTTAACGTCTATACATCTGCTTGTATCTATAATTGTAAAAAAAAACTTGAAAAACTCACCTGTTCTCTGATTGGCAAAGCAAACATGTGCTTATTGGTCAGAATGTAAGTGAGAAGGGATTGCCACACGAGACCCAAGAATGTGTTGGTGCCAAATATGAGAGCAAAACTTTCATTCTTCAGGTGCTTAGCAACTTCGGCACTGCAACAATAAATGTATTAAATTCACTGTAATACAAAATAAGACAAACTTGACAGTTAAAATATAACGTTTTCCGCATAATAAGCTACAAATTTTATTAAATAAATTATGCTTATATTCTGACAGTAGATAGATTTTCAAAAGTACGTTTACACATGACTGCAAAAATGAGATTGGGAAAATAGTATCAAAATGCATAATTAGACGAGAAGCAAAAACAATTAATTATATTTGGTGGAAAAATCTTTTCATTTTATGATGAGTCTATAAACCATTATAGGATGAAAGAAATTTTGCAGTACTGTAAAGCAAAGATGTTTGACTTAAAAGTGTTTTAAACCATATATCTTTTAACACAACTTTACTATGAGGGTGGTTAAATAAGTCCTTAGAAAAATATAGAATGACATAACTTTTTAGGATAAATTTGATTTATTTTTCAACATAATCTCCTTTTATGTTGAACACACTTATCAAAATGTTTCACCGACCTCCTTATGCCGTCCAAATACTACAAGCTTGAAAGGTCTTTGAAATACTCTTCTATTTTAGTGATGACCTCATGATCTGACATGAAATTAACCCACCAAGCCACTTTTTAGGTTAGGAAGTAAATCAGCTGATGAATTTTACAAAATACTTTTCCTACAGTTACCTAACAATTTACATGTTCTCTCACTGATTTGAGAAAGCAAAGTGGCCAATTCGCTCACCAGTGAGACAATGTTAACATTGTCTCACTCTAATTAGGTACTTTGTCTCACTCACTCCAGATTTGCAACGTGAAGGCACGAAATAGTGAGCGTGTAACATGCAGACAAGGTTGTATGCGCGCGGAATTAATTATTAATTATTAAAAGTTAATTTAATAAATTTTAATTATTAAAAAATTAATTATTAAAAGTTTATTTCTGTGTAAAAATATGTCACGTTTCTTTACCAATTTATTTGTTTTATGGTAACTGTAGGAAAAATATAATGTGCAACTCGAGTGCAAAGTGCAATTGCCTCACTCGAGAAACCATTCCTCACTCGCCTACGGCTCATGAGTAAGTATTTCTCTCGAGTGAGTCAATTGCTCACTTTGCTCACTAGTTGCCCAAATAACTATTGTCAGCTGTTTAAGTTGTGAAGTTGGCTGTAAACAAATTATTTGCAATACTATGAGTGGTGTTTATATCTTTTACTAAGGACTTTTTGAACCCCCCTTGTAACTGTTAAAATACTTATCTACACCTTATTGTAGTAAATAACAAAAACAAGTAATTGTTGATATTCACACCTGTAGATTAATAAGCTTGAAATGGAATCTTTAATAAGTGTCCTAGTTTATGGTTTTAGTCCTTGAAATGTACAGTAAAAATACTGTGTTTTAGGTAAACCTCCACGAATAGCTATCAAATATTTGACAAGTGCAAAGAGCACGTGAGATCATCTCCTAAGTAAAGTTACAACATTGAAGAGTTATATCAGCTGTGGACTGTGAGTCCAGCTGTCACTTTTGTTTATTAGCTTTGTTATCAGCTATAGGCTATATATAAGTGAGTATATTTCATCTGTGGTTGCATCTGGTATCTTAGGGAAAAAATACCAACTCATAATTTAGACCCTGTTTTGACGTTTTTATTACCAAATTAACAAACTGCTCTTGTCCGTATCAATACAAATAATACTTGTCAAGGTGTGAGATTGAACTTACTTGGCAACTACGCTCATAATGTCAAACAGCATACAGAAAGCGACGTATATACAATATGAGACGATGATGGATGATGTGGTGGCATTAAATAGCAGAAACATTCCCTTGAACAATGTGCAGATTCCAAGAACCAGTTCACCTCTGAATCTCCAGTCTATTTGAATACTTCCGATTAAATAGCAAGAAATGCCACCTGGAACACACCAAATTTAACTTTATATACACAAGAAATTAAAAAGAAATATTAATGGCACATGTTGATTTAGCTGGAAAATCACAAATGTTATAATCCAACTGCTTAAAACCGTTGTTTGTTTGGATGTAGAACTCAGAGAAGTGACTTTTTGCCTTGGACACAAGCAACACGATTCCCTGCTCAGGTAAAGCTATAAATCACTAAAGACGGTGTCACACTATCGATCTTTTCCCCAAACGGAGAAAAGGGAGGTCGAAGGGAGCATGTTCGAAAGTGTGACAGGGGTCCGTACAACGATTCAGACAGTGAACCAGACATCAGGCCGAGCAGGGAGATGAGCGCTCTGGAGGCGGTTTTTTAGCGAAAGATCAAAGAAAAGATCGGTCCGATGTATGGAGTGATGTATGATAGTGTGTCACGGTATATTTTTGCCCCTTACGTCGTCGGGAGCGCCACACTGAGCGGCCGCCTGCGCTAGCGTTGATACTTCTAATTTAATATGGATATTAAACTCTTTAACTGGTAAAATAAATAAATGTTGGGTAATATTTTTCTGTAGTATATTATGGGCATTTATGTTGTAATTTTGTGGTTTGTTTGGTGAAGGTTGAAAATGTATTTTACATGTTGAAACCGTTAAATCAATGATACCAATAATGCTTAACTTGAATTAAGTAATTGATGTTAAAACCTACTTAAATTCTTTCAAAATTAATATAAACACAAATATTATTAAAGACAATTAAAATTATCATTCCAAAACATGTTATTTCATGTTTTACTACTCTTTTATTATAACTGCCTCTGCGCTCTTACTTACACATGCTCTCCGAACGATCCCAGACATAACCCTTGCATCTGAGTCCCTTTTGCCAAGGATCAGAGCCTGGAGAGTTCTGGAGGATTACACGGGCAGTGACCACCAGTACATTATTTTTGATGTCCTGGATGGTCATCAGAGACAAGTAGCCGCGTTTCGTCAAGTGCCCGTTCGATGGAATATTAAAAAATTGGACGTGGCAAAATTCAATGAAGCCATCTTACGAGGAACACCGGTGGTTCCCCCCGCAACTAGTGTGGCTCATGCAGAGGTGTTAGTTACATCCATGATGGGACTAATCGTCTCCGCTTGCGATGAGTCTATGCCTCGCGGAAGATCCCGGTGCAATAAGCGACCTGTGTACTGGTGGACTGCCGAGATTGCGGAATTGCGTCGGTCAGCATTGAGAGCCAGAAGACTTGCTACCAGGGCCAGAGAACCTGTAGACAGACGTCGTAAGTCGGATGCTTACAGAGTGGCTAGGAGGTCTCTTCGTCGAGCCATCAACCGGAGTAAACGTAGTTGCTGGGAGACATTAAGGGACGATATCGATTCCAATCCGTGGGGCTTGGGTTACAAACTGGTAACCAAGAAACTTGGCACCCGCTCTCCACCTTCCGTCATGGATGGGGCCACTATGGAGAGGATAGTCGAGTCCCTTTTCCCGGCTCACACGTTGCGCCCACTGCGGGATTTCGGAAGGGTGGATGACGTACCACTTTTCAGTCTTGGAGAGGTGGAGGCGGCCGTCCTATCCCTGAAGAACAATAAGGCTCCTGGACCCGATGGGGTACCCGGCGAAGTTCTCAAAAAGGTTTTGACTATTAACCCCTTGATCCTTTTACGCATGTACAATGCCTGCCTAGTCGAAGGAGTTTTCCCTTCGTGCTGGAAAACAGCTAGGCTTGTGCTTGTTGGGAAGGGGAAGGGAGATCCAGACCTGCCATCCTCTTACAGACCTCTGTGTATGTTGGATACGGCTGGAAAAGTCCTCGAGAAGTTGATACGTTCCCGACTGAATTCAGCCGTAGTCGCTGCGGGGGACCTGTCCCCTCGGCAGTATGGATTTAGGATGGGGCGATCTACGGTTGACGCTGTTGAAGAGGTGAAGCAAGCCGTGATGAGAGCTGAGGATTTTAACCACTACTCTCGAAGGGTTGTGCTGCTCGTCACTCTCGATGTGCGAAACGCATTTAATTCGGCGAGGTGGTGCGATATGCTGGATGCTCTGGAGAACACCTTTCACGTCCCGGCATACCTCATGCGTATCATAGAGGATTATCTCCGGTTCCGCCTCCTCTTGTATGACACTACAGAGGGCCCACGGACGATGAGTGTCACTTCCGGTGCTGCCCAAGGTTCCATACTCGGCCCGGACCTCTGGAATGTCGCGTATGACAGCCTCCTGAGGTCTGAAATGCCTGAGGAAACTGTTTTGGTTGGGTACGCGGACGACGTTGCAGTTTTGATAGCTGCACGTAGCGTTGAGCTGGCTCAGCTAAAGCTGAACCGAGTTATGCGTACTATAAACGCATGGATGACAGACCACGGTCTCTCGCTTGCTTTGAGCAAAACTGAGATCGTGATATTAACAAAAAAACGGATTGACACCATCGTGCCGTTGAGGGTAGGGGCCGTTGAAGTCCAGGCCGTTCGTTCTGCCAAGTACCTTGGGATTATGGTGGACAGCAAGCTTAGCTGGCGGGATCAGATTTTCCGTACGGCGGACAAGGCCGCTAGGGTGGTCTCCTCTCTTAGCCGGTTGATGGCCAATGTCGGAGGGCCTCGGTCCAGCCGTAGAAGGCTGTTAATGTCTTCTGTCCAGTCCGTACTCTTGTACGGTGCTGAGGTGTGGGCAGACGCTCTAAATAAGGAGGTATATAGGATGCGGCTTGCCCGAGTGCAGCGTCAGGCAGCACTAAGAGTTGCATCCGCCTACCGAACAGTGTCCGAACCCGCCGTCCTGGTGGTTGCTGGAGTCATCCCCGTCAAACTTTTGGCGGCGGAGAGAAAAGCAATTTATCAGCGCCGTGGGGAGGACCAGGCACGAACAGAGGAACGCACCCGCACCTACCAGCTGTGGCAAGAGAGCTGGGAACAGGAGACTCGGGGACGCTGGACCAGGCGACTGATAAAGCAAGTCCAACCTTGGGTTAATCGGCGGTGCGGAGAGGTGGACTTCTACCTCACCCAATTTCTGACGGGTCACGGCTTTTTCCGGTCGTACCTGTTCAGGATGGGCAAAGCCGTGTCACCCGATTGCATATACTGCCCAGGCATTCCCGATGACGTGGAACATACATTTTTCCACTGCCAGCGTTGGGAAAGGCCCCGCCTGGAGGCTCAACAGTTAGTAGGACTGCTGTCGGTGGACACGGTCATACCGATGATGACGGAGGGTGAGGACAATTGGACCTGTGTGTCACATTACATCCAGGGTATTCTCCGCGCCAAGAAGCTCGACCTTGACCGGGATGCGGTGTAGGTCTTAAAGTATCCAAATGCCATAAACGGTGAGAGCCCTGAGGGCTTAGGTAACATGTTGGCCTGACTTGAAGTAATGTGACAAACAATTCCAGGTCTGTGTCCAACAGAGTAGAGGGGGTTTTTTAGTGAGTAGTCTGCGATAGATTCAGGAGTCTCACACTACAGGCTGGCTACCTGTGTGCGTAAAAGCATTTTCCCTCCTCTCCCTTAAAAAAAAAAAAAACAAAAAAAAAACACATGCTCTCCATCTCTCTCTAAACTCCCTTTTTCCGCACTCGGTAGAACTTGTCTAGTCTTTGTCTTGTTCAGGGAAATGTCCGGATTGAAATTTTGCTTATATTTACCTCCCATCTCTCTTCACCCTGCTCAGATCGGGATCTTGATCAGGGAAAAGATCGATAGTGTGTTTTAGTCAATGTTTGCCGTTTGGCTCTTTCTGTTTGATTGGCATGAGGGAAATTAGGCTTCTATCGCCAAGCACCTTGGATTTTACTTTTTTAAACTTTCTACTTAATTTTTTTACAGCTTAAATTATTTATGGCAGCTGATTAAAGAAATCAGCTAGAAGAAAGGTCAGTAAGAAAAATCTTTTCAAACTTTACTTTAAGTATTGCTTTAAATATAGAAAATTTACCAATTTTATGTATGGAAACTGAAACTTGCACTTTCACTAACATCATGAGAGTAAATGTTAATAGCCTAAAACAATCATCTTCACATTGTAATTTATGGTTTTGCTGTTTGAAAATTTTATGAAAATATTGCATAATAAACCATAATGCATACCTAGAACTCAACAACTCTCGAGAAAATAAATATAGTTATTTGTTTTGTAAATATTAGTACAATACTTACTAACGATGGTATTCACAGCTTCCACCCCTCCGTTGTACTTATTCTGACTTCCATGATTGATTTCTGACCATAGAACTTGGATATAGTAATCAGTCACCTATAACACCAGAACATATTATCAAAGGGTTATTCTTTTCTTGGCAATAGTATCAGATGCTGAAGCCATCGTAAACAATGAGAAGATTTAACTTCCTGTAATATCCAAAAATGGCCTTTTGTGTTGTGTTTACTTAGTTAATACACCTAAACTTTGGACTGATTTTCTCAAATGTAGGGATTTTGAGAACATGAATGAAGTTGGGTGTGTGTCAGATGTTCAGGAAACACATGACACTTGTATAAAATTTAGAACCATCTCTTGATAAAATGGTTAGTGACCTGAATAGTACTATTAGCCTATTCATCTTATTGACAATATGGTCAAATTGCTTTTAAGTGTTTGACTAAAACAGGGCTAATGCTGCGGATAACATCCGCTATTTGATGGCCAGACTTTCTTTTTTACTCCTATATACGAAGATAGATACTACTTTGTAAGACTATTTACTTTTTAGGAGAGCTAAAAATTTCCAGAATCAAGTACAAAAGTAACAGTATCCAGCAGTTTCAAAACTTTTTAATTTAACAACCCACCTCTTCATCTTGTTTTTTTTTTTGCAACTCACTCGTTAAATAATTCTTCTTTAAAAGAAATGTGATTATGACTGTTTTCATCATGATCAGTTAACTTAATAATATCAAATCAAATCAAAATGCTTTATTCATAAAGTACAGTTTTGTACATTTAATGGAGTATACTAAATCTATCTTAAATTAATAATTTACAAATGTGCATATCTTAGACCATTATTATAATTAAAAACCTAGAACTAGTAAATGAAAATAAAAGCAAAAACCAAGTAAATTATCAACTAACGCTAAGAGGGGAGGTGGAAAAATACTCTTCCAGGGAATAAAACGCTTTCTCCACTAAATAATGTTTTGGTTTTCTCATGAAATTCCTCCTGATTCGTTCATTTCTGATTTCATTAGGGAGATGCTTAAAAAATGTTAATCCTATATAGGATGTTTTTTTCATAGAATTTTAATTTATGCTTACTTGAAACAAGGAATTATTTATGCCGAGCTTTGTAAGGGTGATAATTTGTCTCAGAAGTGCTCAAGCGGTTTTTTTTATAGAATAATTGTGTCGTAAATATATTTGCCATATACTGTTACAATTTTCAGTTCTTTGAATTTGTTTTTGGTTGTTTCGTTGTGTTCTAATTAAAACATTATTCTGATTGCTATTTTTTTTAAGTATTATAATTATGTAAAGGGAAATCTGGGAAACATGCCTCTAAAAATAACTTAAGTATCAAAACATAAGACATAGTAAATGGTGGCTTTTTATAAACATGGATTTAGTTATTTTTAGGTTCGTAAAAAACCCCAGAGTCAATTTATCAAATTTTATCATGTGAAACTTGCTTGACAAGCTTATTAGGACAAAATACCAACCAAACATAAATTTGTTTTAATGTAACATAGTTGGCCGCTCATAACTTTCAATAGCCAATAAACATTAAGTAGTGGTGTTCTGATAAAGCAAATCTGCGTAAAATGTACTTCGACACTTGGTGACATTATGACCACTGCAGGTATGTTGACAAGCTATTGTGTAAAGTGAAGTTTACGAGGAATAACATGGCTGATGTCATCATAAATGATTATAATGAAATAATGAAACTGAGTTTGGTAAGGTTAGATTAAAGAGCAAAATTAATTAGAAATCAATACAGGTTTTATAAAAATAAAAACATGTGGAGAATTAATTTCTCATTATTCTACCTTTTTGAAGTATTATTTTACTATACATGAGATAATGTTAGACAAATATAGTTGAGATATCTATCTTACTTGTTGGAATCCTCCGGTAGCCAGAATCCACCAGATGCACCATTTCACAACATAAGGGTTTGTGTAGGCTTCCTTGAAGTCCTGGAGCAATAACCACACTGCGTAGCTGTACGTTTTCTCTTTTTCTGGGTACAAAAGTTTTCATTAGAATGATTTTTCATATATGCATTAAGATATTGGTTGCATCTTTATAGTTATAATTTTTTGTTTTGTCCAAAAAATAGTATATATTTCATTACTAGGACCGGAAGTAGCATTTTCCGGTGCGTGCTCAATGTTTTTAGGGTTTTTTCACATGCGAGGCGAAGCCGAGTATGTGACAGCTATTTTCACGTACGAGGTGAAACCAAGGACGGGAATAATGGAGTAAGTGCCGGAAAATAACTCTCGGTATGAGTTATAAACGATACTCTTCATCACACAAAAATACACAAACACAGAATAACATAGGTACCTCAGTAATATTACAACTATTTTATTTCTCAATTAATTTGTTTAAACATCAACATAAAATAAAATCTTCTGAAAGGAAACCTACGTATATTTTCGATAAATTTTTAAAACATGAAAATAAATGAAAATATTTTAAAGGAAACCTACATATATTTTTATAAATAAATTTTTTAACATCAAAATAAAATAATAAAACATCCTTTAACAATACATACAGCTGATTCAAATCATTAAATTAAACTGTAACAAAACAGTTGCGCGTGTAGTGAGTAAAATTGGAGAACTAATCGAGAGAGAGGGAAAGTAAATTTAGAGCGAGGGAAAATCAGCTGATTGATTTTCCCTAAATTAGAGCTTGGGAAACGACTACTTTCATTGATGTCAGCTGTTATAAAAAATAGTTACTTTCATTACGGAGTGATGAAAAAACATTTAAAACTGATTGGATTGAATGGGAAGTATTGATACCTCATAGAATAATTGTAATGAGAGGTGAAGTGCCTTGGGACCGAGTCAATATTTTAGAAGATGAAAAATAGGTTTTGCTTGAACCAAACTGACCTTTTGTAAGGATAAAAAAAACAACAAAGCCAACTGAACCATACTAAGTGGGCATGTCTCTGTTTATAAACTATTTCACTATTTGATACCATTTGAGCAGATGATAGAATCAGCAAACAGTCCTAAAATTGTGATCCACCTGTAGAAATGTTACCATGTGGTATTTCAATTTTAAAAACCATTTAAATACAATCCTCAATTGTTTCAAAACAATGATTATAAGGTAAAATGAACAGAATCGCTACAACGACTAAATTATTATATTACATTTGTCCTAGTATAACCTTAAAGGAAACTTATGGAGTTAAAACTTAACAGAAAGAAAGAGAAATGAAGAAGTAGATGAGTTTGAGACGTAGGCTAATCAAATTATAGTTTAAAATCTAAAAACTCAGAACAATCAAATTTAAGATTACCTGTAATTCCACTCTCTGGGTTGGATTTGCTTTCTTTAGCATACACACCTTGCTTCATTGAGGGTAGTAAAATAGCACATATTAATGCCATTACAGACGCTGAAAAATATCAATGCATTATACTATATTATATTACTTTAAATAGTTAAACTACATTTTAGTCTTGAGATACAGGACTAACATTTGATTTGTAAATTTCAGGAAGGGGATTTGTAGGCATTCCATAGTTAATGTTTCTTTTCAATGTCATATAATTACCTACATAAATTCCTATTTATTTCTCAAAATCATTGAATTTTGTTCAAAATTATATCTGTAAGATCTTTCATCGGAAGACCCAACCTAAGGTAATTAAAATATAATATATATATAGCTGTTTATGAGAATAGTTTTGAAAATAGGATTAAAACACATTTCCTAATTCTCTGAATTTTCAGTGTGTATAATCAAACAAACATTACTTTTCATGGTACAGAGTTTTTCTTGAAAATCTAGACTAAAAGTTGCTAGGAGATTGTCTTAAAAAAAGCTTAAATATGACAATATGAGAATGACAAACATCAATTGTTTCACTAACTCACCGACTAAAGATATTTTATTGAGATCTTCAATCTTGCAGTAGAAGAAGGAAAGTGCCACCTGAGCGAGGACGGCGGAGAAGAGTGTTCCAGCCTTCGGTGCGATCCTGATTACTGCAGTCACAATCTGGTAGTGCTCCCGATCTACTTTATTGTAGATGTATGTTTTGTACGCTAAACTGCAGGCTTTGGTTGTAGCGAAAAAGAATTGATTTAGCTGAAAATAAAACAAGAGTCAAAACTATTTCATGAGTGAGACAATTTGCAAGAAAATTATTAATAATTCTACAAGATGTTTTCGGTCTAATTACTCCAACAACGGTTTAAACTGTTTTCATGACAAACTTACATAGATTCACTATCTCAATTCATTACCTATCTACAAAAATGAATTTAATTGTGTCCTTTACATTCAAAAATATCAATTTCATCATATTTATTATTTAATTCTCTTAGTTACACAAACAAATTATATCATGCCTATTTTCTTCTCTTAAAATCTCTTTTTAATCGTTCATTTGCTAAAAAATCAAGTAATAAATATAATTTAGGTATAATTTTTAATCACAGAAGAACATTAGATAGTGAGAACTTCAGATAGTGTGAACACTTCTCTAATTATCTCAAATTTAATAATACACAAACTCTTTTAATAGAACAAAATGATAAGATACCTTGATAAGAAGCTCTTACAAACAAGCCTTTATTTAAGAGCAGAAATCAAGGTATAGCTTAATCTCAATCACTCACTTGCATATCTAGCAATGTAACTCCAAATACAAGCAGAGATTTGTGCAGAACAAACCCAAGGGCACCACAGACGATGATGGGTTTGTACCTGAGGATGTCAGTGACCAGTAGAACCACTGATGTTTGTACCACGCTTCCATACACGGACACAGGGTAAATGTCTTGCGTCACCTGGGGATAGTAGGTTGGGTTATATTTGATTTATTTGTGTTTTTGTACAGGGTGTAATAATTACCATTAAAATAATTCTCATAAGCCAAGTTAAAAATTTTGGCACAGAGCCTAGACAACAACGGTTATTGAACCTTACTTATTTTCATCAATGACTTATTTCCAATGTAATTTGATTAAATCAGTTGTGTGGAATTGGGAAATCAAGTGCATTTGGCGGTTCTGTTTATTTAAATTTAAATGTTAATGCAAATGTAAACATTGTGAGTTTTCCAGTTTTTGCCATAGAGACCCTTCGAACTGTCAAATTAAAGTGTTAACAGCTGACTACAAGTAATATTTTTCGATTTATATTCTTTCAAAATGTAAACATTGAAACTTTGGAAGCCCATGGGTCATAGCCCAAAGGATGTATAAGAACAGAAATACATGTGTTAACTAGGTATATAAGCTACCTACAATAATGAGAAATTTTATTTAAATCAGTTCAGTGGTGTGATTGAGTAACACACACACCAGTCTCATTTTTATATATTAGTATAGTTTTATATATTAGTAGAGATTGCTGCTGAAGACGAGTTTTCGTAGCTTGAAACATCTGTGAAATATACATTTAATAGGTAACCTATATCTGTCACTACTAGCAACTGGGTAAGTGGACTCCCATCTCATCTTATAAAATTTAATATTAAGTGTGTCAAGGCTGTTCAATTCAAAAATTATCATTCCGTTGTATAAGACTAATAACTTTTACAGGAATTTAGATTAGAGACACAAACAAGTCATGTTTGTTTATTTTGAAACTTATGGATTACATCAGAGTAGGAGTAGGCCTACTCTGATAAGTCAATACAAATGATAAAATGACAATGTGGACTAAGCCTTATCTGCATCCATAATAAAGACATAATATTTATCTTTTAAATAACCATTCTAGTTCAAACATAAAAAAATATTCTATGATCCAAAAGTAAAAAACATCAAAGAAGTACCAAGACAATTTTACATTCCTTAATGTCACTGAAGTGAATTACCAAACTCATTAACTAAATATCAATTAATTGAAAAAATTAGCCTTGATCCAGAGGCTAACCCATCATGAAATTAATTGAAGGAAGTAAAAGGTTTGGTTTTATTTTTCGTGTTGTAATCTGTATTTATTAAATTTACTTACAGACAGTCACATTTTAAAAAGTATAAACATTTAACTTTGTTTTCATTGTTTCTTGTTGGCTGAACAAACATTTGAATCTTTGTGGTGAATGTTACCATAATGTGTGTCCAACTGTGACTGTGGAAACTTTTGAATGAATCACAGCTGTTTATTGTGTCAAGTCTCATATTCTACATGAAGAATCACCATAGTGACTGTAGTTATATAAATTATTATACTTTACAAAACTTACCCTTCTAACGTTTTGTGTTATCTGATTTTTAAAGACATAAATATTAATCACCTTATTTTGTTGTCTTCATTCTTGAGGTAAAGGTTTGTATTCACCCTGTACATTTTGCCAGCTTTTGTGGCATCTTCAGGGGGTCTTCTAGATAATAGACAATAGACAATTTGTAGTGTTAGAGTTATAGAAGATATGAAGGAAGAAACCCCCTGTAGATGCCACACAAGTTGGTGAAATGAACACAGGGCGAATACAAGCTTTAACCTCAAGAAGCAAAGGCAACAAAAAGTTAATTAATAGTATATCTTCCAAGTTTGACACAGTTAAGATAAAACTATGTAAAAAGTATACTCCAAGCTAAAATCTCACAACCAATGAGACATGGTTGGAAACGATTTTTTGAAGAGGGGGTGGATTAAATAAAGTTTAGAAATATTCAGTAAAGATCCTACAATACGAGAAATTACTTTATATGATTCAATCATCTTAGATTGTTGTTGGACAAATATTCTAAAACATTGTCAAATGTAAAATGTCAAGTTGCAGCTTAGTACCATGTGTAAGAATGAAAAAATGTTAAAAGTATTTAAACCACATAAACAAATTGTATTTTGGTACGCTATCTGTATCAGTGATTTTAGTAACAAATCGGTCATTATGTATTGCTCTGTTCAAACAACTTTAATACTAATAGAGAACACGATCGATCGCTCTCTCAGTGAAGTCATTAATTAGGATGGCAGAAAGTATGTTTATTCAACATTAAACCTAGTATTAAAATAGTAGTGGTTTTTAAACCTCCCTAGTGTTTCTTTACATACATCATTGATTTTTTAAAGCATAGATAAATTTATACAAACTATAGATGGATTGTATTTGAAATCATTACACTTATCAAGTCTAATAGTTTCTCCATTGAACTTACCTGTGTCACTGTGAAATTGAACTTTGGACCGACGAAGAACTCAGCTAAGTAAGGACTTTCTGGTGAAATGTTTTTCAAAAATCCGTAGGTTGCGATCAGAGCTGTGACAATAATCCATCTGTTCTGAGATTTCTACAACACAATCAGTTTGTTTTAACCTTCTGTTTTGCTGAGAATAAGTGAGGGTTCTAAGATTTTTGAAAATGTCTCTATGCTAGTTAGTTAAGATCGCAAAGTGATTATTATCAGTATAGAACTTACATATGTTTATGGCTTGATGGGAAACACCATAAGAAGTATAGGAAATAAACCTATTAGCTTTATAGGCCTAATATGTTATACAGGGTGAGGTAATGAAAGTGCCCAATTTTCTTTTACTGTTACATGGTAAGTAATGCTACAATGATTGAACAGCTGTGCTTATAATATCGATAAAACTATGCCATTGTACTTAACATGGTGCTACGGAGTTATTAACGCTTTGAATTTGACGTGGAAACCTTTTTAAGAGTATTGATTCTTTTGCAAACACTCAGAGATTGTTTTGATCACATTTCATCGTTTGGACAACAGCTTCAACCCAAAAAATAATCTGTGGAAAAAAAAACTTTCTACCATACCAGTAAATGTGGTAAGAGTGCGAGTCGCAGTAACTCGACCCCCAAAGAGTTCTGCAGGAAGGCTTCATTGTTGAAAGCTTTTTCGTTGACTCTTTTATTTCTTTGGAGCTCTCCCTATAAGCTACTTAAAACTCAAGGTTTTTCAAAGTCGTCCCAAGGTGTACTAGAATATACTTGAACTGAAGCTACGAATTCCCCACAAAATTTAAGCAATTCCTGAAGAAATAATGAAAGTTTGTTTGATGGAATTTTCCAGCGACTATAGGAATGTCAAGTAGGATAAGGACATCACTTGAAGGAGGTTGTTTTAAATAAATGAAAGATATTATCCCATCAAATTAAAATGGAATAAGATAAGCTTTGTTACCATGTGCTATTCATATCTATAGGGTAAATATTATTAAATGTTACTATTTATAAATTGTGGTCTTCTCATTGCCTCATCCTATACAGTACATATTTTCTTGTAATTAATTACAGTACATATTTATACACATATTTATTACATACATTATATGTACATATTCATTTTATTTTTAACCATACAAAATTATTGAAACCCTCCACCTGTGTTCAAAGCTACAAAATAATTTTTTAGAAAATAAATTATGAATTGAAATAGTTAGCAGTTTATAAACTCAATATTTTGTCAAGAACTTCAGTAAAAATGTAATTTACATGTTATAGTTCCTAAAATTGATGATACAAAAATATTTTACATCGTATAAAATATCTACATCAGTTAAACAACAGTAATTAATTAGTAATTATACACATTATTTTTTTATCAAATGAACAAAGAATAACCAAAATCGAGTTAACACACCACCTCTCTTCTCTCACTATAGAAATTTGGTTGTGCCCACAGTAAATTCCAATTCCATTGCCAGGTATATCAGAACGTTTTTAATTAGTGTAGTAAGTTTAAAATTAGTTTTTGTCCTTGGATGTGAAATGATCTATAATGCAGGTTCCTATTAGATATTGTTTCCTTTTTAAATCTGAGTTTTTATACTATATAGGGAATGTGTACTCTTATATCATGGATTCCTTCTACTTTAGAGATAACCAAAATTTAAAAAAAATTAGAGAATCTGAGACATAGATGTTAGTAAATATTGCTTTAGAGCAGGGCTTTAAAGGATTTGGTAATGAATAATGATTAGGTTCAACAGCAGGCTTAAAAATAGATGAAAATTAATGAAAATATAAAAGTAATAAATACAGAAAGACTTTTCTGAGCTATACCTCCTTCTTCAGTAGATGATTATTTTTGGTAATCTACATTTTTCACCACAAATACTAAACAAATGTACATGTTCAAAATACAGAACCACTTTCTATCAATGAGGAGGGTGATATAAATTCCTTTCCTGGTTGCACATAAGTATTATATTGGACACTTATTCTGGAAATATCATGTTTAAGGGGTTTTGAAAATCCAATATTCTGACCTTATGTGTTTGTTTATTGAATTGTATTACTTCAGACATATGGTTTGCTCTGGTAGGGGAAATGTCCAACTGCTTATCACAGTTTTTTACAGTTATAGTTAAAACTGTGTAGTAAATGTTCTGTTCAAGTAATCATTACATTTGCAGATTTTGAATATGTAAAATCCGGAGGGCAAACACAATTGTAAGAGAGAAATTAATTAAATACGCCAGTAAACAGCTGTTCTTTTGCATCAGGCAAACTTCAAACAACATGGCCATTTTGAGAGCTAACTGGTACATTAAAAGAAATAAATTGATAACATAGTCAGCCTAAATAATGGTACAGGATGACAAAAAATGTTCATCACAAGGGAAAAAAGTGTCTTTCTCTACCCTCACTCGTTTTCCAACCTCATCTTCACCTGGGTCGTTAAACTTATGAGTTTTTGTCAAAAATCCGCTTGTAATTAAATAATATATATTGATATGAATAAATATTATATTGATCTTTTAGATAAGCACTAATTTTGATTTTTTTCACTTAAAACTAAAGCCATTTTATCTTTGATAATTAAACTTTAAAAACACAATCACACATCATACATCTTGTACTTATTTTAGCAATAAAATAAATTTCTGATACAGGTTTGATGTGGCATTACGCTTTACATTTTCTTAACAGATGAGGTGAATCATAAGATTTTGGAGATAATCATAACAACGGATCAAATGTGATAAGAATGTGACGCTAATGAAATCGTCAACAAATGTGTAATTATTCACTCTCCCAAATTAATTGTTTAAAACTCGTCTGAAAAAATTCATAACAATTTTAAATAGTTTTTGATTTTCAGAATTATACCTACTGATTTTTATATTTTTTATTTACGGTGTTGATATTTTATTTATTTATTGTATTCACATTTCATAAAATAATAATTGATAGCTGTTTTGTCAGGTACATACCTATTGCGCTCAGCAGTCACTTTTGGGTACTTCAGGACTACCCTTCATTTGGTATTTCTCAATTTGAATTCTTTTGCGTAACTTCAGAATACATAATATTATAAGGTGACCCACCAAACAGCACCTCATAGTAATGGTATCCTTAGTTTGTTTGTGATGTACGCCAAAAGGGTCAACATACTAAGTATCCAGATGCTATTATTTTTCATTTGTTTTACTGCTATAAGATATTGAAACTGAGAATGCAAAGGCTGAAACTTTAACGTTAATAGGATTACATGACACAGTAAACGTAATTGTCAAATTTCAGACCAATAGGTCAATTAGTTGGATTTTGATGGAGGAGCATCAAACTCACCAACATCCAGATTGTTAGTATAATGATTATAATGAGTAAAATTTATCCTTACAACAAAAGTTCTAAGGATGTTTGATTAATTAGTATTTGAAGCACATTGTGATTATTTGAATACATTTGTCTGGATAGCTAAATTTAATTTTCATTAAGGATTCGATTTGTCAGCCGGGTGCTGTAACGAAAAACACATTTCTGTCTCTTGGAGTAGTAGTACAGATAACGAGAGTACTATAAGAAATTTTAAAACCTACATTGTCCATTCAATTCTATTAAAATTCAATAATGTACCCCTCCTAGCTGACTGGAATTCGGAGTTGAGGAATAATTTCAGGGATTATATGAAGTTCAATGAGCAGAGTGACCGCTGAGCGCAATGGAGCTGTACCCTTGAAAGACCAAAAAACTAATCCACAACAAAAATCTGACCACTAAATGTAAGGTGTCCGTTTTGTCTGTCTTAGGACTCAAATTAGTCATAACAACTACAAACACTACTAATTATTCTATTTGTAGGAAATCATCCACTGAGTAGAAAACCTTCTCCAATAGCTATATATTTATAGTTTTCATAAATTGGAAAATAACATCAATATCTTTTAAAGATGAAGGGAGTCTATTTTGAGTAATTGGGCTGGCTCTATACAAACTGTATATCTAATTTACTCTTAAACATTAGAGCATATGTGCAAGCGCTATATGCGGGTGAGAATTTTCAATCAGTTATTCTTTGCAGTGTATCTAGAGAAACTTTGGCTATAAGTATAATTGCCCTTTTTTTGAGGGTAAACACTTTCATTGAACAATCTCCACACAATAGCATTTTATAATAATTAAAGAGGAATAAGCATTGTATGTTACAATTTTTAATGAAATGTTATCGTATCGCTTCAATTAATTGAAGACAAGCCCTTATAATACATATTCAACATTAGTTTGCCAAATAAATTGTGATTCTATTTTATTTTTAATCCAAAATAATCAAATGAATTTTGAGGATTTATAAAAAATTTGAATGTTGGAATTATTGGAGGCAGAAAATTGTATCAATTGTGCTTTGATTATGTAAAGGCCATTGACAGTGAACCAGTTCTTATGAGAGTAAATGTGAAATGTGAAATGATGAATGTGTGAGTGTGTTCAAGGTAGAGATGAGCATCGATAGTCGATGTTTTTGAAACATCGATGGTAGGTTACTGCTGTTTTTGTTTTATCAAAGTTTTTCTCGCAAATCAATGTTTTTACCCAGGTATTGAAACTTTGATGTTTCTCATAACTGAGTTTTATTAGTTTTGATGAAAATGTAAATGTTATGTTGTTTTTAAAACAAAATTGAATGTTGGTATGTGTTTATCCTATTGAAAGGGTGATGAACTATCGAATCAAGAAATATGGCGTACTGGACTAGACCATTGATTATGCATTACCTAAGGGGTGATGTATAATCAATGACTTAGATAAAGTATAGAGTGAGTTAGATAAACATCTATATTTGTGAGGTGCTTGTTCTAAATGCTACCTAAAAATCAATTTATATTTGTAATAAATTTCAGTGGCAGCTGGTAGCACTCCTGCTCTCCAGCATAATAATTTAATACAGTATTGATATTTATTTTGTCATGCAAATGTGAAAGAGAAACTACCAATCTAGAACGTCTAGTTAGCAGCATAGACTAACCGTAAGGGGGTGTTTAATCAATGCTAGAAGAGTATGCTAATAGGTTAATTAGCTGAGGCAGTTCAGAGAGCAGATGA